CCCGGCGGGAAGCCCGGCGCCGCGCCCCCTCCGCGGGGCGCCGAGCCCGGGGGGGTCTGCGCGCCTGGGGGGCTGCGCTCCGCCCCACGGGCCCCGTGGCTCGGGGCGGCCTCGGGCCAGGCCACGCCCACCACCTCTGGCCACTCGTAGTCCCACAGCCACGCCACGGCCTCCAGCACCTCCCGCGCCTCGGCCCGCTCGGCGGGCGCCGCGCGCAGCATGGGCTCCAGCAGCTCCAGCAGCGGCCGCGCCTCCTCTGGCGCGAGGTGCTCCTGTCGGGAAAGGCCAGGCCCCCAAGTCCAGACGGAGCAGGCCCAGACGGAAGCCGAGCAATCCGTACAGACATACTCCGCACGGACCTAAATCCTCCGATCCTGAAGGCGCGCGGCCAGCCCGCACCGGGGCAGGCCGTCCAGCCGAAGGCCCGCCGTGCGCAGCACCCAGCCGCTGCAACCGGGCGCGGCCCCTCCGCCGCCCTCCGCCGAGGACGCCCCAGGCGCGGCGGCGCGCACTGCACGCTCGGCCGCGGCCCCACTGCTCAGTAGCGCGTCTGGCGGCACGCCGCAGAGCTCGACCACCTGCGCGACGTGCTCCTGAGAGACAACGAAGAGGGGGAGAGGTTCGAGGTTTTCGGCCGTGTTCGGCCGCTTTCCAGCCTCGGGATGCCTTCCAGCAGATGCGGCTCGCCGAGAGCGTTCCAGGGGTGCCCAGATCGTCCCGCATGACCGCACGAGGCCCGAGTTATGACCTGGACTGGCTCAGGGGGGAAAACATCGAGCTGGAATTGGCGATTCATCGCCGATAGATCGGCGATAGGCCTCCGATAGCGAATCCGCACGGTCCTTGGCGGGGGCGGGCTATCGGGCCCCTATCGGTGATCAATGAGCGATCCCCCTGAGCCTACTCCCCCATCATTGCCCCTGAGATCCTCCACCTCGCTGAAGTCTTTGGAACCGCGGCTGGCCGAGTGAGGTTCCGCCGGCTGCGCGGGCTGCGCGTCCGCGGCCGCGAGCGCCCCCGGGCGCGCGAACACGCGCCTGGGGTCCAGGAGGTACCGCCCCGTGGCGGCCTCGAAGAGGGTGCAGGCCAGGCTCCAGACGTCCGTGGCCAGCCCGTAGCCGGCGTGCAGGAGGACCTCTGGCGACTTGTACTCGCAGGTGGACACCTCCTGTAGAGGCCTCCCAAAAGGCGTCCGAGTAGATGGGGTCGGAGGATCGCGCCGCATCGCCGATGAATCGGCGAAGTCGACGTCCACATCGAGCCGCATCGCCGATGCATCGGCGATGCGGCACGATTCTCCGACCCCATCTGATCGGACCCCATCAAGGAGGACTTAGATCCTGGCTCGCCTGCTTGTCCACGAACACGCTGTTACCCAGGTCCGCAAGGACGAACGTCACGTCGTGCGGGGAGTCCGCCAGGTCCAGGACGTCCTTAAAGGGGCCCAGTGAAACACACATGAATTGAAACAGACGGCAGGATTCCCCGTATGTTTCTATACTTTCTGGATGTTCCTCTTCCCCTACATGTCCCATCCCTATATGCTCTTGGAAATTATTAACTGTTTGCCTAAACGTCTGGTCCTTCCACCCCCCAGAAACCCAACATCGTGCTTCCCCTTCATTGCCTTTGCCTCTGCTGTGCTCTTCCCACTCCTCTCCTCTCTCCCCCTTTGGGGCTCAAATGCCTTTTGGGTTCGAGCTGGCAGCTGGCCCTCAAGGCGGCATGCAGCGGCGCGCGGCGGGAGCGGCCATGCCTCGCGGCGCCGCACTGCTGCTGCTCGGGGCCAGCCTGGCATTGCGCCACCTCTCGATGGCCAGCGCAGAGCCCGCGCGGAGCCGCTCCTTCACACCCACCCAGCGCGGCGAGGTCAGCGCCATCCGCGCCATCGACGAGGACGTGGAGGAGAGCGAGGCCAAGGGGGGAGGCAGAACTGCCAGGCGAGCGTGGGGCACCGACGGCATGTCACCACACGCTGGGCGAGCGACCCACGCCGCCGGCTGGCCCATCCAGGTCCGAGCTCGGACCAGAAGCTCCTTCGGTCAGACACCCCCCCCATATATCCCGCGGGCCCAGCCGAGGCCGATGTCATCAGTCTGGGACCCCCCCATCACCAGAGGGGACCTGGGCGGGTGGGGAGTCTGGGCCCTGAGCTTCAGACCTCTTGGGAACTGGTCCTGGGCCTGGAGCTTCAAAGGAATGGGGGGAGGGGCCTTCCAGGCACTGGACTGTGAAGACCGCCTTCTCCACCTTAGAAGCTACAGGTTGGCTCCACTCCGACGGAGGTTGGGCCTTCTACGGCCTCGACCAGATGGGGCCCATGCTGTTCGCAGCGGGCTGGCCGGCGCTCGGCCGCGCGAACATCGGAACCACCCGTGCAAGGCAAAGGACGGGGAGCTCCACTGCAAGGAGTGCTCCGCCATCGATGCCGAGGCCACCGTGGACCTGGGCGCCCACGCCCATTTCACGACCTGCCGCTGCCTGACCCTCGCGACGCGCGGGATGTGGCACTTCGGGCGGGACTGCCTGCTAATCGGCATCTACATTCTCTGTTTCCTGTTCCGCGGCCGCAGGTGCAGGCGAGGCGAATGCCAGCTCTGCGGTGGCCAGGCCACTCGATCAAGAGTCGGAGTCCGAAGGCGAGCACGAAGATCGGCCCTGCGAAGCTGTCAAGGTGGGCGCCATGATCAGGGGGAGGATGAGGCCCCTCGGGCTGGACGGGTTCCGCGATGGAGCCAGCCCAGAGGCCGCCACACTCCTACTGGAGGAAGCCCAACCCTCAGACCTGCGGGCACCTTCCGATGGAACGAATGTTACGTCGCATATGCGCGCTCATCATGACCAAGTCCGCCGACCCCTTGTGGGTCTCTAGGCGTGTGAGATAGTTCCCCCCCCATACCCCCCCCCAGGGACCCTAAACCGGAGATTTGACCGCCCCCCGGCCCCGGGGCACCCACCGCCGAACGCGTCATGGAGGAGCAGAAGGTCCCAAAAAGGGCCAAAAGAGCACAAACGGGCCCACGCGACGGCCCAAGAAGGCCTCAAGAGGCCTCCAAGACGGCCCACGAGGGCCCCGAGACGCCAAACGAGCGCTCCAAGACGCCTAAGATGGCCCAAAGACGGGCTAAGAGGCCTCCTACACGGCCCAACAGGTCCCCACGAGGCCCCAAGAGGCCTCCAATATGCGTCCCACGAGGGTCCCTAGACGCAAAAATTGACCCATTCCCTTCGTAAGACGTACAATTTTCACAAATTCGCCTTCTCGGTTCTCCGATGCTCCCAGACGACCCAAGAGGCCCCCAAGACCGCCCCAAGACGGCCCAAGAAGCCTCCAAGAGGGCCCCAAGATAGCCCAAGAAGGCCCCAAGACGGCCCAACAGGCGTCCAAGACGGCCCAAGAGGGCCCCGAAGACGGCTCCAGGAGCGTGCCAAGTGGCCTCCAAGGGAGCTCAATATGGTCCCAGACGGTCCAAGAGCGATCAAAGACACCGAAGATGGCCTCCAGACGGCCAAGATGCCCCCAAGAGGCCCCAAGAGGCATCCAAGATGCGTTTCAAGAGGGCCTTTAGACGCAAAAAATTGCCCATTCCGCTCGTAAAGCGTACCTTTTTCACAAATTCGCCTTTTGGGTTTTCCGACGCTCCCAAACGGCCCAAGAGGCCCCCAAGACCGCCCCAAGACGGTCCAAAAAGCGTCGGAGAGGGCCCCAAGACAGCCCAAGAGGGCGCCAAGACGGCTCAAGAGGCGCCGAAGACGGCCCAAGAGAACCCCGAAGACGGCCCCAACAGCGCTCCAGGAGCACCCCAAGTGGCTGCCAAGAGAGCTCAACATGGTCCCACACGGTCCAAGAGCGATCGAAGACACCCGAGATGGCCTCCAGATGGCCCAAGACGCCCCCAAGAGGCCTCCAAGATGCGCCCCAAGAGGGTCCCTAGACGCAAATGTGTGCCCATTTCCTTCGTAAAACGTACAATTTTCACACATTCGCCTCGTGGGCTTTCCGACGCTCCAAGACGGCCCAAGAGGCCCCGAAGACCGCCCAAAGACGGCCCAAGAGGCCCCCAAGACGGCCCCACGACGGCCCCACGACGGCCCAAGACGGCCCCAAAACGGCCCAAGAGGTCCCCAAGACGGCCCAAGAAGGCTCCAAGACGGCACAATGAGGGGCCCAAGAGGGCAACCAAAAATTCAAAAATCTAGCTTTCCGCCCCCACGAGCCCCAGGGAGCCCCAAGAGTGCCCCGAGAGGCCGCCAGAGGCCCCCAAGAGGTCGCCAAGACGCCCCACGGAGCGCCCAGGAGGCCCCCAGGAGGCCCCCAAAAGACCCCCAGACGCGTCCGTATTGCGAGCCGCCAAGCCAACTGCAATGCACTCCGCGCATACAGCCTTGCTCTTCCTCGCGACGTGCTCACTATCTTGCTCGGCGTTACTGTGCTACTGCCGCGCGAACTGTTTCGTGCGCGCTGCGAAAGTCAACAGCCTCTTCACTCGTTTCGACTCATTTGCCACATCTTTCGCGGTGACGCCTCGCTGATCACAGCTTCCGCACACTACTCTTGCTGCTTTCGTCTTCCGGTGGTCCTCCACTTGGTTGCGGGTCGAAAGGCCGACCTCCCAGAAGGACACCCCGCACCCGGGTGCACAGCACGCAAGGCGCTCGCAAAACACGCCCCAAACCACCAGCATCACGCAAACATTTGGACCCCCCACGTATCTGCCACCACCCGCGCGCGACACCGCACCCTCACACACCACGCCGCTGGCCAGAAACTCCTGGGCTCGCAACACTCACAGAAGGGGTCGGCGGATGTGGCGCAAGCCTGTAGAATCCACGTCTGGAGGTGACGTGCTGAGCGGCAACGTTTTCTGCGGAGGCGATAATGCAACGTATCCAATGTGTCCAATGATTGCATAATTGCAACGTATTGTACTGTGTTGCATTATTATGTCTCCCCCCCTAACCCCCCCCAGGGGCCACGCCACTTCCGTCGACCCAAAGGT